AGTTCTTGTCTCACGTGTACTGGGCCCTTTGGGGGGGACCTGTTCCCCAGGACTCACTCCTTGTTCCAGCACCTGGTCCAGGCCTGGCCAGGCAGGGGTGTCCATAAACAAGTGACTCGTGAACGTGTCCTTTACTGGGGAAGATCAAGTAGGGAAGTTCAAGCCCCAGCCCTTCAGCCTCCGCGTAAGAGGCCGCGGCAGACAGCTGCAGGGGCAGGGCAGACCCTGACGCGTCTGTGTGAGCAGGCGGCTTGTGTACTAACCAGACCCCTAAGGGCACTGTCTTCCCCTCCTCTTGACTAGTTTCTAGGCTGCTGGAGTGTGGCGGGTGGGCTGCAGATCTGGGTGTGGCCCACAGTGCGTCCTAGCGGTGCTTGACCTTTCATGAGTTCTCAGTGGGCAGAAATGCCTTCGAGCGGCTGTTTTCATTTTGGCCATGTCATTGTGGGTAGGAGGTGTGGGGACAGAAACCAGACTTGGGTGACCAGCTCAGCCACAACACGGGCCTATGCTCCTCAACCAGGGGCAATTCTGCACCATCTGGAGACACTGAGGGTTGTCAAATCTTGGGGAGGGGAAGGTGCCCCTGGCATCTCATGGGTGTAGGCCGGGGATGCTGCTCAACATCCTAGCACACACAGGACAGCGCCCGCCACAGGGAACCCTCAGCCCAGATGTCAGCAGTGCTTGAGAAGCCCTGACTTAAGCAGGTAGTGGAGACCAGAACACTTGTGTTATTGCCGCTGCCGTTGCGGCGATTCCAACTCACAGCGACCCTATAGGACAGAGTAGAACCATAGGGTTTCCAAGGCTGTCACCTTCACAGGAGCAGATCGCCAGGTCTTCCTCCTGTGGAGCAGCTGGTAGGTTCGAACTGCCAACCATTCAGTTAGTAGCCAAGCACTTAACCATTGTGCCCCTAGGGCTCCTTCCAGAATACTGGTGCTTCCCTTTACCTCAAAAGGTGGTTTTCTAAAAGGCTTGCTGCTGTGTTTAACATTAAGTGATTGTTTCCAAAAGACATTTGCACAGTTGACCAGTTCTGATTTCTTGGCTTTGCTTCGAGTGTGCTAACCAAGTCCCTTCCCCCAGAAGCAGCTGCTGAGCGGAAGCTGGTCAAGAAGGAGGTGTCCACGGTGAGAGGCCAGCAGGACCCAGGCCAGATGGTCCCTGGTGACTCCGGAGGAGACAGAGGCCCCAAGGGGGACCTGACCTGTGAGATGATCCTCAACCTGATGGATAAGTGATGGAGATGGGGATCTCGCCAGTAGTCCTTCATTCTTAAAGCACGTTCTCAGATTTCTGCATCTTCTTTAAGTTCATGGCGGTGGATGGCCCCAGTCTTTCCAAAGTTTGAAGTAGAGCCTAGAATTGTTTGCCTTTTTCTGCCTAGATATTTCAAAAAACATTGCAGGTTATTTCATAACAGGCATACAGCTTGAAGCAGAAGATGACACCTCAGACCTATGAATTCACTTGGTGTTGGTGAGGTGGCCCATAATGAATGAGAAATGAGTTGGGGGTAATAGTTATTTCAACAGTAGTATAGACCAGCTGAGGTCCCTGGATGGCAAAAGCGGTTTGTGCTCTCCTGCAAACCAAAAGGTTGGTGGTTTAAGCCCACCCAGAGGCACTACAGAAGAAAGGCCTGGTAATCTGCTTCTGTAAAAATTACTGCCTAGGAAACCTTGTGGGCCAGTTCTACTCTGTAACACATGGCGTCACCAGGAGTTGGAATCGACTCGATGGCAGCAGGTTTGATTTTTTTGGTTTTATAGACCAACTGTTCGGTGCTTAGGAGCCCTTGGTAGCACAGTGGTGAAAGCACTCTGCTGCTAACCGAAAGGTCGGCAGTTCAAACCCACCAGCCGCTCCACGGGAGGAAGATGTGGCAGTCTGCTTCCATAAAGATTTACAGCCTTGAAAACCCTACAGGGCAGTTCTACTCTGTCCAACAGGGTCGCTATGAGTTGGAATCGACTCAGTGGCAGTGGGTTTGGTTTGGGTTATTCAATGCTTAAGCAAAAAGTTGAAGCTGGCAAAGTTGCAGTTGAATGGTACACACCCATGGTATTTCAAGTATTTTTGTGATTTTTAAACATAAAAAGCTAATTTTTATATCCTTTTTCAGTTCATACAAATGAATTTCATTCATATAAATTCATTCATACAAATGAATTTTCCACACAATTTTAAATTACTATAATGCTTTTAATTCGTTCTAAATTCAATCAAAAAGATTTTAATTTTATAAAAGTAAAAACCGAGTAAAACATGAAAACTCTAGAGTGGGCTAGACAATCGCGAGTAGGGTGCTGTCTTTCCACACAGGTAGAAGGTTCACTCTTAGAGCCTGTCTTCCGGTTTGTACGCTTTCTTAATTACGTTCTCGGGCAGCTGTGAAACCCCCCCCGGCTGCACCCTGTTACCCGTTTACAGCCTCTTTGTTTTGCTGACACTATTTGGTTTATATATTTTCAGTAATTGCGGAGTGAGAAGAAACAAACGTTTAATGACGAAATGTCTCCTTGTAAAGAATTTAAACTTTTTATAATGCCCTGGAATTAGTCTTTCCATTTTGCCAATTGAAGAGGTCATCTGGCCTCGTGCAGGAGCACTGGTGGTGCCATAATTAAGCACTCGGCTGCTAACCGAAAGGTCAGCGGTTCAAACCCACCAGCCGCTCGGTGGGAGAAAGACGTGGCAGTCTGCTCCCTAAAGATTGGTGCTGGCGCGTGCTCACTGAGTCGATTCTGACGCATAGCAACCCTGCAGGACAAGTAGAACTGCCCCGTAGGGTTTCCAAGGAGCGGCTGGTGGATTCCAACTGCTGACCTTTTGGTTAGCAGCTGGCGTAAAGATTCCAGCCTTAGAAACCCTGTGGGGCACTTCTCCTCTGTCCTTAGGGTGGCTATGAGTCAGGATCAACTCCAGAGCATACAACAGCAACGTGTGAAATGCCTCCTTAGCACTTAACTAGCACTTATCTTTGTAATGAGCCAGACTTTTCTTCTTTTCTTAGCTAAACAGATGCTTTTGATATATTTGAACTTTTTTTCCATATTGTGAAATCATTGATAGGTTCAAATTCAAATTCTTAACATTTTGATCTGTTACAAATACCCCAAATTCAGAAGCCCTGTTCAAGGTCAACATTTGGAAGTCATTTCCCAGCGGGAAGGGCGTTGTATTCTCTTCATGCCAGCAAATTAATTGAATTCATACAGTACGACTTAAATTCTGGGGTCTGTTATGTGCTACCATTGTGACTATTTGAATTTTTGTGATTGGGTCTTATTTTTTGATTAAGATGTTTTGCACCACTCAATAAAATGAAATGAGTTCAGATTTACTGTTCTTGTTATATGTAAATGATGATCTTAAAAAATGTCTTCTTTGCATCGAAGCTGGTAGGATTGTTCTTCCTTCACTGGCAAAATAAGTGTTGATTTTAGTAGTGCCTGGAAAGTAAATAGTTTCCAGTGTTTGGCAGCCTTAAGCAGCATGTGTATCTTTATTTCCTAAGATTTTAAAATTGAAAATGAGCAGGAATGTGATATTTACAGTCCAGCTTCAGTAGAGTTTTTTTTAAAAAGGAAGAATATCAGAAACATATTTGAAAGATGAAAGCACAGTTGGCATCCAAACATCACCAAAAACTCTTCATAAACAGACTTTAATAAGTAATTGCTTGGGGACCATGGTCTCGGGGGACGTCTAGCTCGATTGGCATAGCATAGTTTATAAAGAAAATTTTCTATATCCTTCTTCGGTGAGTAGCATCTGGGGTCTTCAAAGCTTGTGAGCAGCCATCTAAGATACTCCGCTCTTCTCCATCCCTGGAGCCCCAGCACACCCATCCCTGAAACACCTCCTCCAAGCACCTCCCGCCTCCTCTAGGCACAGTTGGCTCTGGGGGCTCTGAGCCCATGTGAACGAGTTTGCACCATCTTTCTCTGAGGCCGGAACCCTGTCCTGCTCGAGCCGATGCCTCAGGCCTTTGCAGCTAGGGTGCCTGGCTGGCTGCCACTGCATGAAGGAATGCTAGTCAGGGAGACACATGGCTGGGTCCCTGGCTCCCAAGCCTGCCTGCCAGCCAGCGGGAATCGCTACCTCCCCCCGTGAGCCAGCCGGGCTTCCCACACTGGATTAGCAAGAGCAAAGCAGATGTCTCCATTTGCTGCAGCAAAGGATGCGATGGGATAGAGCCCGCTGTTTTCCCCTTCAGTCACAGCCAAGGGCAAGCTTGGGGGCCAGGCTGGCTGCCTTTCCCATTCTAGGACCACTGTGGCCAGGCATCCCGGGATCAAAGGCCACCCCAGTTTCCTGGCTGCTCCAGACATCGGCTTCCCTACCAATAAACTCTTTATTCTCATTTTATTCGTTTAAAAAAAAAATTGCAGCTCATATAGCCTGGATGAGGTATTATACGGAACAAAATGCAGGTGGACGACGTGCTTCCATTCTGTATCCAGGTTCCCCCCAAACATCTGGGTAAAGGGTGAAGCTCATTAGTTCCCGAAGCAAACTCTCAGTGCCTTTGAGCCTGGGTGGAGCAAGCAGTTTGCAGTCAGCTGCTAAGCTAAAGGTGGACAGTTCCAACTCACCCAGCAGCCCCACGGAAGAAAGGCCTGGCAGTCTGCTTCCATAAAGATTACAGCCAAGTCTGCCTTGCGCATTGTACTTTTTTAAGAATTATATGGGATCAAATTGACAACAACAACTCAAAAGATCAGATAGGACACTTAGGGGACAGTGAGTTGATGTTAATGGGGGAGGAACAACTCAGAAAAGGAGGGTGAGAATGGTTGCACAACTCGAAGAATGTGATCAGTGTCACTGAATTGGACACGTGGAAATTGTTGAATCGGTGTATGTTCTGCTGTGCATATTCTCAACGACGACAAAATGTTTTCAATTAAAAAAAAAAAAAAAAGATTACAGCCAAGACAACCCTCTGGAGCAGTTCTTTTCTAAAACATGGGGTCCCCATCAGGCAGAATCGACTCGACAACGGGGAGAAAAAGCGGAGACAAGAGTGCCCACAAGAGGGCAGTCCTGTCCTTCCTTTTTAGACATTCAGACAGCCTCATTTTGCTATTGAGGCATTTCTGTGAATAACAATGCCAAGTTACAGCAAAATCTTGGCAATTCCTTTTATTAGTTTTGTACCGTGCAGAAGGTAAATAAGAAGTGGTTTGTATTGGATAGTATCGGGAGGATATCTTGCCCTTGAGGCTGCTAGGGAAGAGAGAGGCCTTTACAAACCTGGAAGTGCGGAAATGTTGATTGGCTCCGGACTTCAGCGTGCTTGATGAGTGACCTGCCTTTGGAATGCTTTAGCTTTAAAATAGTGTTGAGATCCAACAGGAAATAATTCTGGAATGTACAGCTCTTGCACAATTTAACGTCTCTGTTTTGGGGGAGGGTGTTTAAATTACAACGTTTGACAACAGTTGCACTATACAAAGGATGCTTTTTAAACAAACCCAAGAGCTAGAAGATGCATGCCAACAGCCCACTATTGTTTGATATTAGTCACTGCGAAAGGTTGGCTACTACGGGGGTGAGCGGGGAGGGGAGCTTATGAGACTGAAGTAATTTGTATTATAAAGTTTGACAGGCTACCTTTGGAAGATGGCAAGAATTTGTTTTCCAGATACTATTGCCAGGATAAATGTCAATTTTTTCCTGATAATCAGTGATAATCTTACTGAATAGCCCCTGTGAACGTATTTTTATTTTTTAATTTTATTTATTTTGTTGTTGAGAATGTACACAGTTAAACATAGACCAGTTCAGCAGTTTCTACATGTACAATTCAGTGACACTGATCACATTCTTTGAGTTATGCAACCATTCTCACCCTCCTTTTCCAAATTGTTCCTCCCCCATTAACATCAACTCACTGCCCGCTAAGTGTCCTATCTAACCATTCAAGTTGCTGTTGTCAGTTTGACCCCACAGATAGATCTTGAATGTATTCTTTATAACTGTCACTCGGTCGGCAGCCTTATTTACACTAAAACATGTTCAATTAAAGCCTTGGAGTATTTGGCTTATTTAATTGGCTATTTCAGTATTTCCCCCATCCTTGTATTGCCGTTTATTTTTAATTGAGTGTATCAGGTACACCTGGTGGTGCAGTGGTTAAGCGCTCAGCTGCTAACTGCGAGGTTGATGATTCAGACCCCCCCAACGGCTCCGTGGGAGAAAGACCTGGCGATCTGCTTCCGCTGAAGTTTAC